AATTTTAGTATCTACCTTTTGTGTTACACTTGGTAAGTTAAACAACTTTTTAATGTGAAATTAAAAAGTTGTTTAACTTTATTTCCTTTACAATATGTTTAACTTTATTTCCTTAGTCATGTGCTGCAACTAGTAATTTAAAAAACTATTACATTTTATGTGTATGCATTTCTCGTTATTTAAAATATTGATTTTTTGTTACAACATTGTAATTTTAGTATCTACCTTTTGTGCTACACCTAAACAACTCTTTTTAATGTGCACAAATTTCTCATTGATTGCAATATTGATTTTTATAATATATTTTTTACCTTTAGTTCTTTATACATGTGGCTACGCCTGGTAAGTTTCAAAACCTTTTTTCTTTTAACATGTGTATGCATTTCTTATCAATTGCATATTCTTTTTTGCAATTGCATTTCTTATCAACTGGTTTTTAATTAAAACCATTTTTATATAAAAATTATTACTTTTTAGACTATGAATGCATTTATTACCATTTGCAATTTGTATTTTTTATTAAAACAAATTTTACTTTTAGTTCCATCTGTACCACCTTTAAACGGTAAATTTATAAATCTAGAATGTCTCTGATTTTTTACTGAGTTCCTCTTATTCCTATTTATATCATCTATTTAATATTTTTGTGTTTTGTTATCTCTCCAAGTGCTATAAAAGGAGAATCAGAAGCTTATACATGTTTGAGTTTTTATTCTGATTAACTTTTATTAAAAATTTCATTGATTCATTAATCATTCTTTATATATATTCAGACAAACTGTCTTGGTAAGTATTTATTTTAATTTTTTTAATTTTTAATTACATGAATTACAAATACATTAATATTTTATTTGTTTTTAGAGCTTACATATGAAGCTTATAGGTCATTTCGATCTTAAAACTAAAATCATTTACTAAAAGCCAAGACATAGAGTAATTACTATGTTTTAAAACATTTTATTATTATTATTTTTTATTAGGTTGGTGGGTTAAATATGATCATTTAAATGAGAAAATGTATACTAGTGCAACTTGTAATCTGGTAAAACAATTATGTATTGTGCTTTTTCTTTTTTAATAATTGCATGTGAAAATGTTGAAAATGTCTTTTCTATGTGTTTTCTTTTTTATGTTGGTTGAGGGGAAGGGGGAAAACTATCCCTCTCCTCAAATTATGTTCTATAGTAAAAAAAATATTGCTTTATGTAATACAACAATATTTTCAATACCAATGTATGTTGTGTAGTTATAAAAGATTATTTTTTGTCACGTGGGGGGAGGGGGGAGGGGATGCATCATACTTCCTTCATTTCAAGTCAATGTGTGCATCAATAATATATGTTGAATAGTAATAAAAGATTTTTTTTAATTTTTAACAATGCATTTAATTATTGTAATAAAGAAAAAATTGTTTTTATTTTTTATGAGTCAAGGGGGGGGGGTGCGACATACACCCTCCCCTAAAGTTAGTGTTGTATATCACTAATGTATGTTTTATAGTAAAAAAAAATATTTTTACTTTTTAACAAAATATTAAATTACTGTAAAAAAGATTAAATTATTTATTAGAAAGTATGATTATTGTATTTAGGGTGTTATAACATCACAACCACATCTATGGTCAACTCTAAGATCACCTTATTTTGTTTGGCAGTGTTTTGGAATCAAGTTATGGCAATATTTTGTGTATAAAATATAACAATTACATTTAAAAAGTGCTTATTTCTGACAAAAACTTGTATTTTCTTAAGGGTTAGATGGTGTTTCATTACCCCCTCTGGCTCCCAAGATACACCCTACATCCAGGCACCAAAATGAAATTGTAGCCCATTAGTGCACCTATCTTGTGATACCAAGATATAGGTATTTGGATAAAAATTGACAAAGTTATAACAATTTAAGTGAAAAAAATAATTATTTTGACCACAGTTTCTTCAACAATTCCATATATCTAAAATTTGTTACTAAAAATGTTATAACTTTTTTGAGAATTGTTCGTTTTTAATAATTTTTTCACCTTTAAAATAATGTATTAAAGGCCTTTCTAATGATGTATAACATTCTACTATATGATCAATATAAAAATTTCAGTGCACGTACCTACTTTAAGTTTATATATTTGCAATATTATTTCTTTTTATTAGAAAGAGTATAAAACACCTTATCGATTATCTGAAATTAATGAAGAAAAGAGCAAAACATTTCTAATCCTGAAAACATTTCAGGCCCAGCATTAAAAAAACCTTTTTTTTTAACATTGTCTTTAATATGAACACAACATGTGTTGGGAGTTTGAGATCCCTTTAAGTTTATATATTTGCAATATTATTTCTTTTTATTAGAAAGAGTATAAAACACCTTATCGATTATCTGAAATTAATGAAGAAAAGAGCAAAACATTTCTAATCCTGAAAACATTTCAGGCCCAGCATTGAAAAAAAAATTGAGTATACTTCCTTTAGCTTAAAAAATCGACATTATTAAATTGTCTGAAAATCGA